TATATATATATATATATATATATTTTTGGTTCGCGTTCGGCCCGAACGGCCGAACGTCTTCCGAAGGGGTCCCGTACGTTCGGGTGTTCGGGTTCGGGCGTTCGGCCCGTCCCGAACGTGGGCAACCCTGTATATATATATATATATATATATGTATATATATCGTCACAAACTGAACTGCCCGGTAAACCGTAGGCAGAGAGAGAGAAGAGGACAACAAACGAGGGGCTGTGACAAACTGTTTCGTCGGAGTTTCACCGACTCATCAGGAGGCTGAACCCTCAACAGTTTGCAGAATCCCCTCACTGATTACTCTGTAAATGATAATTTACCTTAACCAAAATCAAAGTAGACGATCACTCACCCACACCAGATGGAAAACTCTACAGACTGTCGGTTCACACCCTATCACAAGCCAGCAAAACATCCACAAAACAAAGAAAGGTCTGTCACAGCCAAAAATTACACTCCAGACACGCCGCTGGCACTAGAGGCACAACATGGCCGCCTAGTAACGGCCCCGACCACTGCCGCTCGACCTGACCGAAAAATTATATATATATCGTCATATATATATATCGTCATAAATTTATCAGAGCGCAAATGCGAAAAAAAGAGGAAATAAATATATATATTGTCTTCTCCAGGGTTACCTGACCAAACGTTCGGGGGCCCCCAAGCTGGCCCCCGAACGTTCGGGCGTTCGGGGTCCCGTTCGGGGGCCGAACACCTCCAGGTTCGGCCCCCGCCAAAAAATATTTCAGGGCCTAAAAATAAGTTTTTGTTTCTGAATGTTTTTTTTCTGAGTTCTCTATGATGTAACCTACACGCCTATAAATTTTGAAGCCATTCTGCTAAGCCAAAAAAACATTAAAAATCGTCAAAGATGGGGGTGTCAAAACGTGCTCGCCCACTCACTATTTTGTTTTTTTTCACTTTTAACTTTTTGTTTTCACTTTATTTCGGGGCCTAAACATTTTTATTATTTTTTGAAAATTTTTTAATGAGTTATTGATTATGTAAACTACATATCTGTAAATTTTCAGGGTATTTGTCAATGCCAAAAAATAATTAAAAATCGGCAAAGAAGGCGGTGTCGGAAAGGTGCTGGCACACTCACTCATTTTAATTCTCTTTTTATTTTTTCTTATTTTTATCATAGTGTTTATTTTCTGTATTGGATTTGTAATTCCAATTTGGTAAAGAATTTGGATGTAGTTCTCAGGCAAATGTTGTTTAGTTTATTTGTCTCCATAACATAGTTTGTTTTCGGAATTTTTTGAAAACGTTTTTTTTTTTTTTTTTTTTTTTTTTTTTGGTCCGCGTTCGGCCAGAACGGCCGAACGCCTCCCGAAGGGGTCCCATACGTTCGGGCGTTCGGCCCGTCCCGAACGCCGGTAACCCTGGTCTTCTCCTCATTGGGGGACAGCTATATATATTTTCTCTTTTTTTTTTTTTGAACTACGCTATATTATTCTCTCAAATCTTTCATCATCTTTCAAATTATTTCAGTTCACCTTCACTACCTACCTACCACTACTTCTAAGGCTTATATAGGGGACCCCTGCGAACATAGCTTTGTTGTCTCCCTCCAGCCATCAGAGAGAATGCATGTTGCCCGGCGCCCCAACCATGGTGGTAAAGGATGGGGTAGGGCTGCCCGTGGGAGTCCGCCTAACGCAAAGACCCAGCATTTTGCCTAGTTGCGCCTCACTTTTCGTTGTCCACCACCCCCAACCCAACAACAGCAGTGTCTAAGGCCAACATTCTCCCACACACCACACACAACCTGCTAGAACATGGCCAGATGCACCCGCCACTTTTTGTCTTTTTCACCTTCAGAGAGTGGTGTGGCGCCCTAAGGCTATACAGGGGACCTCTGCAAACATATCTTTCTTACCTCTCTTCGCTGAAGGGAGATCACCTCTCTCGGTGGAGGGAGGTACCGGCATGTTTGCCCCTTTGCCCTGCTCTTAGGGTGCAGGGTATAGTCCCCGATAATTAGACAGACGAAACAACAATATATAATATGTCTCTCTCTCTCTCTCTCTCTCTAGTCACACCGATTTGCCGGCCTGACCGTAGGTAGAGAGCGAGAAAAGGACAACAAACAAGGGCCTATATATATATATGTATATATATATGCGGTCGCAGAGAACTGCCCAGCTAAGCGTAGGCACATAGGGAGAAGAGGTCAACAAGCAAGGGCCTATATATGTGATGTGATGTACAACGTTGCAGATCATTTGTAAGCCTACATCATATTCTTATCCGCTGCACCGAGTGAGGTTTTCCACGTGTCACATAGTCGTTATTCGTGTACGTGTCTAAGTCATTAGATGAAGTATCATGCACATCGTGCCTATCTCTGAGCACACTCACAGCGTGGCTTCTCTGGATGGATCTGACAGCAATAACGCCCTTCCCCCTGAACGTATCTGACTGCAATTGCGTCCTGAGAGCAGTCGAAGAAGTCCTACCTACTGTGAGTACGCCCTCAGGGCATAGTCACACTACCGGTAGCACTTTCCTGGATCATGTATCGGACAGCAATTACAGCCTGATCTGGATGCATCTGACCGCAATTACGTCCAGAGGTCCGTCGAAAACATCGTAGTGCGAATACGCCCTCAGAGAAATTTGTCTCCCTGTCCTCCTTACGCAGCGAATCTACCCTTCAGTAGTTATGGATCTGTACTTCTAGGCCTAAGACCTCCTCCGTGCAAGCCCGTGCAAGCCCGTGCACCTGCACGGATTCGAACTGGCGGCCTCGGCCTTAAGAAGAGCCAAGTTTCTTATAACCACTACAGCCAAGACCAAGACACAATTAGCCTTTTAAAAAAGAAAGAAAAAAAAAGACCACGACACGGTGTTCAAATTTGTAAAAGTGGAACCGTACGGACACGTGTAGTGAAAGGGCGAGGAATGAAGTATCACGTGCAATGACGTAGACACTTCGTCGAACTTTCATGTCTTTATATCTGGTAAGTAGATGACATCATTCCATTTATCAGCGAAGCTTCAGCCGTGAATCGCAACACGATCACAAGCTTTCCTCATCTGGTAAGTTCACATTATCCAATCTAATCCAGTTTTCTTGATCTGGCGAGTTCACAGTATCCAATCCTATCCAATCCAATCCAGCTTTCTTGATCTGGTAAGTTCACATTATTCAATCTAATCCAATCAGATATGATTCCCAATCAGATCTAATCCAATCAGATATGATTCTCAAACAGATCTAATCCAATCAGATGTGATTCCAATCAGATCTAATCCAATCAGATG